CATGGGCTAAGCCGCAATCGCCCTCGAACTCCATCGGGCCCGGTCCGAAATTCCTGAACTGGCTGCCCCGTGGGCCCCGCGGGGCGTCGGCCCGGCCCGCCAGAGCGCGCGAAGTTTGGGCGCCGCAGCTTTCTTCGGCAACCAGGACTTGGCTCTGCGCCCCGGGAGCTTTCGGGCCCTGGCGGGCTCGATGTTGCGAAGCACGCGCCGTCCAATCAGATCGTGACATAAATTGCGCACATGAGACTTCCAAGCGCGCTCCGATCTTGACTGCGTTTTCTGAACAGCGAGCGACTGCGATAGGACTCCTGAGTTGCTCGGCTGCAACAGAAGGCCGATCGGCTCCAACCTTCGGCGAAGATCTCTGACCGCAGCGAGAGCACTCTCGGCGCTCTGGCCGTTGGCCCTGGACACTGGAGAGAGACGCCATCCGTCGGGGCCCAGGCTTGGATGCTGGGCAACCTGGCCACCCTCGCGAGCAGCCAGCGCGTTAGCACCGGCGTGCGAGCGCCCAGCCAGGGCTGGAAGGCTGGGCAGCGCCGAAGGTGCATCCAGCCGAGCTCGGGGAGGACACCGACACTCCTAAACGCGCATCGCAGAACGCCGTGCTTTACAACGTCGTCGCAATTCGCAACTTCTGAGAAAACGCAAATCCGGATCCCACCCTTGGTTCTAGGGGTCTCCGTGGAAAAAGTTCAAAGCAGAAGCCGGATCCTTCGCGCCCCCCCCCCCCCTCCCCCTCCCCGCGCCCCCGAAGCCCTCCGTCGCGCGCTCGCTCTCCCGGGCCTCGGAGATGGGCATCCGCCCCCAAGACCAGACTCTCATGGGCGCGTCCAAGATTGCCGTTAAACAAAATCCTCAGTCTGGCCCCCCGAGCCCAATCAGCCGCGACACCAAACGTTGCGCGGGCCAAGCCCCGACTTTCTCACGCCGGCGCATGCGCGCCCATGTCGCGGAGGCCTCGAGGGCGTCATCCGACGGAGAGAAGAGCGAACGGGGGTGCATGTGAAGCTGTCCCACGGCCGCGCGCTCTGAGAACTCGCCGATGGCAGCCCTCGGCTGTTCCACAGACAAGGGGGCAGGGGGGCCCGAAACACATAATGCCGAAGGGGGCCCAGGAGCTTCGCGGGAATGCGTCGCCCAGATCCCTCCCCGCCCCAGACTCGCATCGTAGCTCAGCTCGAAAGGCCGGGCTCGCTCCGCCTTGCCTTTGCGCGCGCGCCCCCCGCGCGCGCTTCCGCGGAAAGACGCTTTCACCCGACGCTGCCGCTCTTTATTTCCCCCTGCTGAGATGGCCGCCTCGTGCGCTGCAAGCCCTGTCCAGCGCGCGCTGGACGGGGTCTGGGGGCGGGCGGGCCACCTGCCGCATTCAATCCGAGGCGAAAGAAGCCTGCGCTCAGGGAATCCAACTGGTCGAGCACCCAAGAATGCTGAATGCGATGCAGTGCGCGATCAACCCCAATCGAAGCCTCGGCAGCTCGCGCCTGCCGCCGTCATAGCTCGCCGTCGTCGGTCGATATCCAGCCGTGGCAAGTGCGACTGCGTCGCCGCAGCGACGCTCCGCAAATTGGAGGCCCGCCTGGCCGCCGCCCCCCCCGAGGCAAGCTGCGGCAGCTGATGCCCGGGGTGAAACTGCAGCATGCGTCTCTCGACGTCGAGATGGCCGCTTTGCCTTTCAAGCTGGCGCCCCCCCCGCCCCCCCCCCCCGCGATGTCACGCCTGTCCACCAGCCCCCGCCCCTGTTTCATTCCTTCCCGAAATTCCCCCCAAACTCCAGCTCGTCTGCTGCCGCCGCGGCGTCGGCGAAGCCCTGCCCATTGTTTCCGTCGGGGGTCGCGCCCTAACTCAGGCAGAACTGGCCATCGACGAGGTTGCTTTGGAACTCTGCGCCGCCTCGGGCCCCCCGACCCCCGCGGGCGCGGGTTTGCGCTCAGCTACGTCGAGATCATCTCAGACTTGAGAGGCGCTGGTACGATGCAAGAAGCCAACCGCTGTGCCTGTCGCGCTCTGCAAGCGCGCGGCAGCTGGAGCAGATGCCGCTACTCCCCCGAGGCCCGCCGCCCACATCTGAATCCGATCTGGGCGCACAGGACAAGATCACCCCCTATCAAACCATTCAGCTCCAAGAGACTGCTCCTCGTTGGAGTAGGGCGCGATCTCTTTGAAGGTGCAGATGTTCTTGGGGTCGCTTCGTTCGTCGCGGCACAAGCGCGCCTGGGCGGCCGCGGTCAAACAATGCCACGCGGCGCGCGTGCCAGCGCGCCCACCGCGCGGCAAGGCCAAATCAGACAAGACGCCCAAAAGCGGAGGCGCTGTGAATTTCGTGCGTTTCGGCGCCAGCACCGCTGCGCCGCTGCGCGGCCCTCCGCCGTCGCCGGGGAGCGCCGCTGCCCGCGCGCCGCGAAAACCAGCCGCCACCAGTCTCGATTGAAAAGCTGGCAGCTGCCCGCGTGTCCCATGATGCTCTGGCGCCAATATGACCTTGGAGACTCTGCTCGAGGATGCAGCAGACTCGAGCAGCGCCTCCCAGGGGCCGCGCCACGTTGCATCCGCTGTGACCACCTCAGCCATTGACTAATGGAATGAAGGCGCACGCACAGCGCCTTCGGCCGCGCGATGAAAACCGCCAGCGCCTCGCCTGCTCTCTCTGCCTCGGCCCCGAGGTCAGCCCCATCCTCTAGCGCAGAAACAACTCCAGGGTCGTCGCTGGCTGGGAAAAGGATCCAACTCGTGGGGCCCGAATGCGCTGGCTGAGGTTTGCGCGATGGCTGCGCGGGCCCTGCAGGCTGCGCCTGAGCCCGCTCGGCCTCGGCCCTGCGCTGCTGTGCAACCCGATGGGCGGCTCCAGCCAGTCGCGCCCCTTCCAGCGCCGCGTTGAGCTTCTTCTCCGCTAACGCAGGCGCGCCACCGAAACCCTGCCGCAGCTCGCCGAAACGCCCGCCGCGCGCCCCGTCGCCCGCGGCAGGAGCTGCTCCGGCGTGGGGGGATCTCCCTTGACCTCCTGCGGCTTCGGGGCTGAGGCGACATGCTTGCGCCAGGGCTCCTCGAGTTCAACCAGCTCCCTCGTGATCGTGCCCAGCAGATTGTCAACCCCCTCGACATCCTTCTTCGCGTCCTCGGCCTTCTGCCGAAGGGTTCGTGGCAAACCCTCCTGCTTCTCGCGAATCTTGTCCAGCCGCTGGCTCTCGAAACCGATCTCCTTGAGCCGAGTGTCCTGCGGCTTGCCCTCGGAAGGCTGCTGCTTGACAGACTGCTGCTTCGCGCGGGGCTTGTCGCAGGTGGCCCTAATCGCGGGATCGGTCAGATCCTTGATCGCCTCGACGTTTGAAATGATAGCTGCCAGCCGCTCACGTGTGTCGCCGTCTGCGCCGTTGCCCGTGCTGCCCTCGTCGATTTCCATGGTGTTGCCTTCGGACCGAGATGGGCTTGTCTGGGCTCGAGGCTTCTCCACTTCCTGCCTGCATTGCCTGAGTTCCTTGGCGATGGTTGCTACAGAACCCTTGTCGGTGCAGACGGCGCGACGCGACGCGAGGGAGCTGTCGGTGCCTTGTGACCTGCAAGCGCAATAGCCTTTCCCTGATGGCACAGGCAGCAACGTTCGAAGTCCACCCTGTTCTACCACCGCTCGCCCGCCGAAGCTCACCAGCAATGCGCGCAAAATCACTGTGCCCTCCACGCTTGGCGCATAGCCTCGTGACCCGAGAAAAGGGCTGCTCGCCGTCGCGCCCAGGCCATGCCCGAGACGCCTGAAGAGCGAATGATTCGCAAAAAGGTCGCGCGGGCTGCACCGCGGCGCAGTACTGAACATGAAGATGCACAGGGAGAGGCGCCTCCAACCGTGGAAGGCTGCTCGGAGGCGGATGCAGTCGGGAACCGCCGTATCCCCCACGCCAAAAGGTCAAGGCCTGAGAGAAGCGCTAGGGATTTAAACCATATTAGCTACGGGGGAGGAGGAGGAGGAGGAGGAGGAGGAGGAGGAGGAGGAGGAGGAGGAGGAGGAGGAGGAGGAGGAGGAGGGGAAGGGGGGCAAACTAGGTGCGCTCGCGTCAACATCTGACATCCTACCCCTCCCTCCCATCCCTTCCCATTGAGCTACTTCATTGTCCTCTCACCGAATCGGGCTTCGCATCTGACCCTGTTACCTAAGAGGGAAAGGAGGAGGACGACGGCGCGATGAAAACGAAGACGACGACGACGAAGACGACGACGACGACGACACCACGACGACGACGACGACGGCGGCGACGACGACGACGACGACGATGAGGACGACCGGCGACGAAGACGACGACGACGACGACGCGACCGCGCCGGAGCGGCACCCGCGCCAGCTGCCCGCTGCCGTTACGCGCAACATTCTGAAGGACCAGAAAGACTCGGATTTTCAAAAACATAGATGAAAACCAAACTCCCGGGAATCCTGTGCGGAAAAGGACGCCGCCCAAAAGGGGGGGGGGGCTTTCTGCGGCCCCAAAAATCAACGAATCGACACCGGATGTGTAATCACCTCCAATGTTTTTGCCGGGGATCATTTTCTAGATTTGGGGCTTCTTAAAAAGGATCGAAAACGTCGGCGCTGCAGCGGGAGCACGTTTTGGAACAACGAGAGGCGCAGAAATTGGGCCAGCGCTGCAGCGGGAGCACGATTCGGAACGAGCGGGAGCGCGGAAATGAGGCCAGCGCTGCAGCGGGAACACGATTCGGAAGGAGCGGGAGCCCGAAAATTAGGCCAGCGCCTCAGCGAGAGCAGCATTTCACAAAAAAACACAAGCGAAAACCCAACTCCGGGGAATCCTGTGTGTAAAAAAACAGTACGCGGGGGGGTGCCGAATATCTTCCGGACGCCATCAGGGGAAGTGGGAGAGTAGTATTCATATTGTGTAATTGTGGAGGAGGCGGAGAGACGAGCAGCAGGAGGGAGGGGGAGGGAGGAGGAGGGGGAGGCAGGGAGGATGCAGGGAGGGAGGAGAAGCCCGGACGAGCGGGTGCGGGCGGGGCGCCTGCACGGTGCCGCGCAGGCCGCGGCCCCCGGGCGGCCGAGGCCCGCCAGCGGGCTACAGCCGCCCGTCCTGCAGGACAGAGCGGCGCCCCTCCTGCGGCGGGGGCGCGCTGCGGTGTGGGGGGGGGCTTCGGGGAGGGGGAGGAGGAGCGCCACCCAGCGCCCGCGCCCGAGCCCGAACCGGAGCTCCACGAGGGCAGGGGAGGGCGGAGGGGGGGAGGAGAGGGGAGGAGACAAGGGGGGCCTCCTTTTCTCCCCCCCTCCCTGTCTGCAATTCCGCTCATGTCCGCTCCGTGGTCACGCAATTCCTGCCAGAGCCCCGTTTCGTGAAATTGGGCGGCCATCCATGCAGCTGGCTGCAAAGATGACGACAATCTGAAATCATAGAACTCACAAATCGGTCCAACGATCGTCCCGCTTTGAAAAAGAGCCGCCCTCAATCCGTGCACATGTTCTCCAATGTTCAACCAACGCGTGGTCGTAAAACCGTACGGTTTTACAACATACCCATGTCGGGCCACAAAAATACACACCCCAAGAGGCCTTCAAGAGCGCCCCAGCATTTTCCGTAGGATTTGACAATTTTTGGCTCTCTCGCCTTGTTGGCTTGCCGATGCTCCCTGACGGCTCTAGAAGCCTCCAAGAACGCCCCAGAAGGCCTTCAAAAGGGCCCCAAAACTGCCCAAGAGGGCCCCAAGTCTTCCCAAGAGGCGCCGAAAACTGCCCAAGAGGCCCCGACAACTGCTCCACAAGGGGGCCCAAATGTGTGGCTAAAACAAGAACCGCATACTGAAAACCATTTTGCATCCATCCGTGTACGGAACTGCTGGAACCGTGCAAGGCGCATGTGCGCGGTTTTGAAACGATGACCACTTGCCGACCCCTCCCGTCCGTGTTGCTGTTGGGAACGTTTGAACGAAAACCACCCCGACCATACGTGATGTGTAACTGCTGGAGCTGGGAACTTGAAGATGGATGGGAACGGCATTAAACCAAACCGCCTTTTGAAAGACAGTCCGCCTCCGTCCGTGTAATAAACTGTCGGGGCGGGTCATCCATGAACGGGGAGGAAGTCTCAGGCGAACTGCCCAGCCCGACCTGCCGACGCACCTGGCTGTCGGGCGAGGAGTCATAGATAGTGAGGAGGGATGTGGTGGGAGGAGGAGGAGGAGGAGGAAGAGGAGGAGGAGGAGGATGAGGAGGAGGAGGAAGGGGAGGAGGAAGAGGAGAAAGAGGGAAGAGAGGGAGAGAACGGAAAAGAAGGAGAATGATCAGGAGGCGGCGGAGGAGGAGGAGGATGAGGAGGGTGAGGAGGATGAGGGGAGGAGGAGGAGGAGGAGGAGGAGGAGGAGGAGGAGGAGGAGGATGAGGAGGAGCAGGAGGAGGAGGAGGAGGAGGAGGAGGAGGAGGAGGAGGAGGCAGCAGAGCGGAGAGGACGGACGAGGAGCAGCAGGACGTGGGAGGAGGAGGAGGGGGGAGGCTGGAGAAGAGAGGGCGAGCAGGATGACGAGCAGCAGCAAGAGGGCGACACTGACGAGGGGCGAGGAGGACATCCGTCCTGAGTCGCTGTATGACGGTCCTGGGCCCCGGGGAGGCCCCTGTGAGCCCGCAAAGGATACACAGGCACACGCACACGCACGCGCACACACGCACACACGCACACACGCACACACGCACACACGCACACGCACACGCACACGCACACGCACACGCACGCCACACGCACACGCCCGCCACGCGCACACGCCCGCACGCCCGCACGCACGCGCGCACGCACGCATGCGCGCACGCGCACACGCGCACACGCGCGCACGCACGCACGCACGCACGCACGCACGCGCGCGCGCACGCGCGCACACGCGCACGCGCACGCGCACGCGCACGCAATCGCACACGCATACGCACACGCACACGCACACGCACGCGCACGCACACGCACACGCACACACACACACACTCACACACTCACACAATCACAGAATCACACACTCACACAATCACAGAATCACACAATCACACAATCACACAATGACACAATGACACAATGACACAATGACACAATCACACAATCACACAATCACACAATCACACAATCACACAATCACACACTCACACACTCACACAATCACACACTCACACACTCACACAATCCCAAAATCACACAATCACACAATCACACAATCACACAATCACACACTCACACACTCACACACTCACACACTCACACACTCACACAATCACACAATCACAATCACACACAAAATCACACACACACACACGCGCGCACACACACACACACACACACACACGCACACACACACACACACACGCACACACACACACACACGCACACACACGCACACCCGCACACCCACGCACCCACGCACACCCACACACACCCACACACACACACCCACACACACCCACACACACCCACACACACACCCACCCACACACACACACACACCCACACACACCCACACACACACACACACACCCACACACACCCACACACACACGTGCAGCCTCTCGAGGACGGGGGACGAGAAAGGATGGAGGAGGGAGGGAGGAGGAAGCTGGGAAGAGGGATGAGAGGAGGAGGATGGAGGGAGGGAGGCAGGGAGGGGGAGGAGGGAGGACAGATGGACGGAACATGGAACATGGAGGCAGGTCCAGAAAAAACTAAAAAGGGTGAGAGACAGAAACACAGACTGCCGCCACTTGCAGCAAGCAGGGTGGGAACATAACGGTATGCGCAAACAGGATGCGGTCCCCCCTCTACCCCGCTGGTAACAGCATCGCCTTTACCAGCATCGTCGGCAACACCATGATCAGTACCATCATCAGACGGCCAGCTGCGTGGAAGGGAGGAAGGGAGGGAGGAAGGAGAGGGAGGCACGAGGAAGGGGGGGAGGGAGGAGGGAGGAGCGAGGGAGGAGGCAGGGAGGAGGCGAGGGAGAGACGGGGAGGACGCCCCTCTCCCCTCGTGGCGAGTCCTGCAGCCTGTCGACCTGCGACTGGAGCTGGAAGGCCGGCGCGACGGCCCGGGCTCGGCACCGAGGAGTGGCGGGGCCGAGGCCCGCCCTCCCCCTCTTCAACGTCCCCCCTCCCTCCTGCCCCTCCTCCCTCGTCCTCCTGCTCCTGCAATCTGCTGCTCCTCTCTCCCGCCTCCTCCTTCGCTTCCCTCGTCCTCCTTCTCCTCCTGCTCCTGATCCTCCTCCCCCTCCCTCCTCCTCCTCCTCCTCCTCCTCCTCCTCCTCCTCCTCCTCCTCCTCCTGCCTTCTGATGCTCCTCCCTCCGACTTCATTTCCCTCGTCCTGCCTTCTGCTCCTCCTCCTCCTCCTCCTCCTCCTCCTCCTGCCTCCTGCTTCTCATCCTCCCTCCTCCTTCTCCTCTTTCCTCCTTCCCCTCCTTTCCTTGTTCATTCCTCCTTGCTCCACCCCTCTCCCTCCTCCTCCTCCCTCCTCCCATCTCCTCCTCCTCCTCCTGCTCTTCCTCCTCACTCCCCTCCCCTCCCCCTTCCCCCCTCACCTCCCCCTCCTCCTCCTCCCTCCTCCTCCTCCTCCTCCTCCTCCTCGAACCTCACCTCCACCCCTCCTCCTCCTCCTCCTCCTCCTCCTCCTCCTCCTCCTCCTCCCACCCCTCAGTGCCTCCTCCTCCTCCTCCTCCTCCTCCTCCTCCTCCTCCTCCTCCTCCTCCTCCTCCCCCTCCTCACCTTCCTCACCCCCCTCCTCCTCTTCTCGAAGATCGCTGATACAAGTTTCTAGACACGCTGGGTTTTCTTTGTGCCACCAGGGGGACTGCTCCGCCCCCCGCCCGGCTGCGGCTAGGAGCGGCGGGCCAGGGGGTCCTTCCCTGCCGTTGGCCATCGGTGAGCAGCGCGGCTCCCGGGACGCGCTACCCTGCCAGGTACTCAGCAGTCGGGGACTTCGGCCGATGCAGACGTGACGCCTTCCCACTACTTGCCTGCGCCATCCTCCGCATCCTGCTGCGCGCGCTGTTGAGGTACCCGTCGCTGGGTGCCCGTTGCTGGGTGTCGCTGGGTACCAGGCGGAGGAGGGCACTGGGATGTTTTTTCGGGAGTTGTGTTGCAGCAGCGCTCGGGCCTGTCCCAGGGCTCCGGAGACCTCATGGAGATAGATGGAAGGGCAGGAGGCGGAGCAACTCCTGATGCGAAACATCAGAATGAGGAGGCCGAACATCCCCATACTGTCCCTGGATGTGACCGGAGCCAGCCCACCAACGACCCGCTACCCGCGCCCCGCGCCCCACGCCAACGACCCGCGCCAACGACACCCGAACGCCGCCCGCACCCGAGATCTACCTACGACGGGTCCGCCCCTTACGTACAACACTCGTGAGCAATTAGACATCGGTACCCACCACGGTCCTGTTCGCACTCGTGGAATGGTTGCTTTGGGCACCACACCGCGACCTGCACGCGATCTATCGACAGCCTACGGGGAACCTGCCAGCACTATCAGTTCATGCAAGATTGGCACCTCAGGCGGGCAACTCCCGCATGCAACCCGCGTGAGACCCCTGGGGCAGCCCGCCAGCCATCTGCATGCCGCGCGCGCTGTCGGAAACATTTGCGCCAAGTAGCGGTGCCGTTTCGTTTTTGCTCTAGTGGCGTTATGCCTGCCTGCGCTCATATCCTACAAGCCCCGTTTCCATGGCAGGACCCCTCGCTCTCGTCTGCCCATATGGAGCTTCGTAATCTACAGCCTCCGGAGAATATTAAAATCACTGGCGGGGGGCAAGGATACGCGACTCTGAGTTGCCCCTGCGCGACACCTGGACGCAAGCGGAGGCAGTTCGAGGGGCGCATGGGTGGACCGAGCAGTCAAGAATGCGGGGACCCCCGCATTCATTGAATCAATGAATCAATGTTTGAACGCATGCAATGCCAGCAAATGTTTGAATCAATGAAGCAATGTTTGAATCAGCAAAACCAGCCCAGCACTCCTTGAATCGATGTTTGAGCGCATCCAAGTGCGCACCTTCGCGCTGGAAAGCTCCAACCGGCCGCGTGGAGCCGGGACCTGGGCCCCCCGAGCTCTGCCAAGTGCTGGCTTGTCGTTGTGCATCGCTCTCTGACGGTACCGGAGCGCTGGGGAGAACCACGGACGCCCATCCTCTTGCGGCAACGGCGAAACACATCCAAGACCGACGACGACGACGCCTCCTCCTCCTCCTCCTCCTCCTCCTCCTCCTCCTCCTCCTCCTCCTCCTCCTCCTCCTCCTCCTCCTCCTCCTCCTCCTCCTCCTCCTCCTCCTCCTCCTCCCCCGTCGCGGGGCTTCCAGGGGCCCTCTTGGGTCGGGCCTGTCTCCCTCCAGGCGGATTTTGGACGAAACATTTTCAAGTAGTCTTGAGCCATAAAAATAATCAAAAATAGTAGACAAATCGTCGCCATACTAATTTTTTTACTATTTTTGCAGATTCCCCCTGTAGCGGGACAGGCCCGACTTAAAATTACTCCCGGGCCGTCGCCCGGCCAGGCTGGATTGCCGAGGCCGGGCCGCACACGCCCAGCGTGCCGAAGTCCACCGGCAGCTCGTCGACCTGCCGCTGGATCTGCTTGGCCTGCGCCGTGTACCAGGCGAGGAACACCACGCGTGCTGGGAGCAACACAAACCTGAGGGGCTTCGTCCTCCACAGTCCGGAGGCGCGCAAACGTGGATCAGCGATCCATGGATTTGGCGAGCGGGCGCCACACCCATGGATCGGGGGAAGTGCCCTCCCCAAAATACGGCCGGTGCCGCCTCGTTCGGCGGCGGAAATCCGCGATTCCCAATGGAAACAGGACCCGTCGCGAATCCACGCCCCCTGGATCCATGTTTGCGATCGCCTGAAAACCTGATGGGCTTCACCATCCACAAGCACACAACCAGGTATCCACCGACGTCGAACGAAACACTCTCAGAGGATCCCCCCAGACATCCAGCGGATCGATGCCAGAGGATCAGCCAGACCTCGGCAAATCGGTGTCAGGGGATGCTCCAGAATGACTGGGCAAGCCGCCGTCCTTCCCTCCTCGCTCCCTGTCCCCGATCTCCCCCCCCCCCCCCAGCCTGCTCCCCCGATCACAGGCCCATTCGATTGCGACGAAGAGGGCCCCCACCCCGGAGGCTCCCCGAGAGGTCCCGAAGGACGGCCCAGAGCCTCCAAGCGGCCCCGGAGAGGCCCCCAGGATGCTTCCCTGGGCGCGGGGAGGGAGACGTCTTCCGGCTGGCGTGGGAGCAGGGCCGGGGAGGGGGGCGACCCCCCAAACTGAACAAACTCAAACTTTTGAAGGTGAGCGTTTTCCTACTCGGCGATCCGACATTGGGCGGCAGGGTGGGGGAGGGGGAAGGGGGTCTGGCTCCGGACCTCTGCTTTGATCCGATTGTTTGCAGCAGGGCGTCCTATGGGGGAGACTCCACCTGCCCGAGAAAGGCGCAACAAAAACAGCCAAGATCTACTCAGTGGGGGGGGGGATGGGGGGTGAGGCGAGGGTACGCACCGATGGGCAAGACAAGGAACGCGCGGAACTCGCCGAGGGCGGCGGCGGAGGCGCCGCCAGGGGGCCCCCACCGCAGATCCAAGAAATCCGCGCGGACCTTCGACAGTGTACACCCTGCGAAATGCTTTAGAAACCATGGGTTAAGAAATTCATAGCTTCAGAACTTGAATAAAAACCCCAAATTCCCATTCGAATCTTAGGATTTACATTGAAACATTAAGAATAATCGAGACCCTGGCCGAAAATTTAAGTTTTCTTAAACATCGCCTAAGGTGTATGTTTATACAATTTGCCTGTTGTTTGCAGCCTGTGTGATGCTCGAGCGTCTGCACACCGAGCTCAAGGGCTCCTTGGCTGGCCAAAACGTCGTGGTGTACACCCTGCGAAATGCTTAAGAAATCATGGGTTAAGAAATTCATAGTCTCAGAACTTGACTAAAAACCCAACATTTCTATTCAAATCTTAGGATTTACGTTGAAACATTATGAATAATCGAGACTCTGGCCGAAAATTTAAGCTTTCTTAAGCATCGCCTAAGGTGTATGCATCGAGCCCCTCCGACCCACCCCCGAGGTAGTGGCAGCGGGGGCCTCAGCAGCACCAGGTGCGCGTCCGCGCGCTCCTGCGGCTCCGAGCGGCCCAGCTTCTCCAGGGCGCAAGCCACCTGTCAGGCACGCGCTGATGCAGCGGGTTTCGGACACCCTGGATCCAAGCAGATGTTCATCCCCTGGGAGGGGAACTGGTTCTTCCGCTGGCTTCCGCCCAGGGAGAGATGGCAACCCCCTCGATCCTCGAAGGTAAGGCCCTCCCTGGAGCGCGCCATGTGGATCCATGGATCTGGCCCTGGAGCGCGGGAGGAGGGTGCCCCAACAAAGCACGAAACCAATGCCGCCTCACTTGGCGACGGTAAACGCCGAATATTGTACGGGGATGGGTCCCGTCGCTGTTCCACGCGCCCAACTCCACGTTTGTGTTGCGTTGAATCATGGATTGTCACTTCTGGCCTCCTGGAGGCTGCTCTGGGCCACGAAGGGACTCGCCGAGGTTGATTCAGTCAAAACCGACCCTGTGAAAGGTACAGGGGGGGGAGGAGGAGAGGGGGACGTAGGACGAGAAGGGTGGAATGGATGAGAGCCTGGAGGAGGTGGACGCGGGGGAGGAGGGGGACAGGGGGAAGGAGGAGGATGAGGAGGAGGACGAGGAGGAGGAGGCGGGAGAGAAATAAGAGGAGAGAGACGAGGGAGGGAGGGAGGGAGGGAGGGAGGATGGATGATAAAGCGGAGAATCAAGGATCCCAGTAGTGTTGGGAAGGTGTTGGTTCATGGTGTGTCTCGGGAGCTCTCTAGAGACCTCTGGAGGCATTGGCGGAGACTTCTGTCGGCCTTTGCCGACCTTCGAAGATCTCAAGAGACCTCCTGCGAGGGTAGGGGGAAGGTGAGGAGATGAGGAGGATCGACGGCCATGCCCAATCCACTGCACACGGGCAATCGCATCGACGCAGACACTTGTCGTGCCCCTTCGAGGAGGATGGAGCAGGGGAAAAGGGATGGAAAGAGGGCTCCTAAGGATATTGATGCCGTGCGGCGTTTCAGAAGTTCCTCTAGGTCTGGGGGAGGGGGGGGAAGGTCGACGGAGGAAGGTGATAGAGGAAGGCCCTCCCACTCCTCCTCCTCCTCCTCCTCCTCCTGCTGCTCCGACTCCTCCTCCTCATACATCATCGTCCCTCCCTCCTCTGATTCCCCTTCCCTTCTGCACCTTCTCCTCGCAGGAGCTTCTCCGGAGAGGTGGAGAAGCAGGGAGGAGCGGCGAGGGACCGTAGGAGGGGATGAGCGATGGTGTAACAAGGACATGCCCACACACCTGCACCACGGGCATCTCCTGGAGGTGCGCTCTGACCAGGAGTTCGAAGCGAATCCAACCGAGGTGACGAGGGAAGCTGAACTGGTCGTTCTGGGGACCGTCCTGAAACCACTATTTCCAGTAATGCGTCGATGCTGCCTCGAACGTCCGTCGGCATCAAGCTTGAATCGGGTCGGCATTCGAGCTTGAATCGAGATAGAGTCGAACAGATCAGTTCGGTGGGCCCCAGGAAGGTCCCCCGAACGAGCATCTGTCGGGCGGGTGGTTGCGTGGGGTGACCTGCACAGCGGGGGAAGAGAATGGTCCTGAAGGGGCCCTTTACGGCCCCTGCGCCCCTGCTGGCTCCTAAAGAGGCCCTGAAGGGCGCCTTTAGGGCCCTTTCCTTCACCCCCCATCTGGGCCACTCTTCACGAAGGATTGCAAAAAAAAAAACTGAAGGATTGTAACAAAAATCAGGATTGCAAACGAAAGCCAGGATTGCAAAAAACACAGTTTTTTTTGCAATCCTTCGTTCTAAAGAGGCCCTGAAGGGCGCCTTTAGGGCCCTCTCCTTCACCCCCCATCTGGGCCACTCCCCACTACCACCCGCCCGAGTCTGAGAAGGAAGGGCAACGGCATCAGCACCTCTCCCCCCCCTGAGGCGAAGGGAGAAAAGGGGGGCTTCTGCGGTCGGGCGCCGCCGAGATCACGGTCAGCAGCGCCACCGCCAGGTCCAGCCAGTGCCAACAGACCTGGGGGTGCGACCAGGGGGAAAACAAACCTGCCTCGCTTTTGACCACCCTCGCCTCCAAGGGATACCGAGCGATGCCAAAATGCGGCCTGCACTGGTCAGGCCGCCTGACGAGGAGGCGCATGGTATGACTCGGTTTTTCCTGGAAGCGAACGCGGGGTAGGTAAGTCACGCTCTGAGCGACACATTAGAGGCCTCCTAGATGGGGTCCGAGTAGATGGGGTCGACGGATCGCGCTGCATCGGCGATACATCGGCGATGCATCGCCGATGCATCGGCGATGCACTGGCGACGTCGGCGGTGCATCGGCGACGTCGGCGTGAAGAACATCGGACTCCGCATCGAGCCGCGTCGCCGATGCATCGCCGATGCATCGGCGATGCGGTGCGATCCTTCGACCCCATCTACTCCGACCCCATCTAGGAGGTCTAGACACATGGCACACGCGCAAACTTTCGGCGCTCCGCGGCTCTCTCGGATCGGCGCTGACACCCCCCCTGGCGCGCGGCGCGCGCCGGGCAGGGGCGGCGCGGGAGAGTCGCCGCCACGGGGGGCCCAGGGCCGCTCCGAGGTAGCCGCGCGGAGCTCCCAAAGTCTACGCTCGTGCAGTGTTACTCCAGATTTCGTAATCCTCCTCCTCCTCCTCCTCCTCCTCCTCCTCCGCCTCCTCCTCGTCCTCCTCCTCCTCTTCCTTCTCCTCCTCCTCCTCTTCCTCCTCCTCCTCCTCCTCCTCCTCCTCCTCCTCGTCCAGGGAGTCGTCACTCTTGTCCTTGCCGCGTCAGCGGTACTCCAGATTTCGTAATAAAAGGGAGGGGGTCTCAACCCTCCCAGACGAGCAGTTTTAGACCCCCCCCCCGTGGGAGAGCCCTCCAAAACAGCGTCCCCAGACCCCCCCCAGGCCCTCCAAGATGGCCCGGAAGAGACCCCCCCCCGGTATGAGACCCCCCTCCCTTTATTACGAAATCTGGAGTACCCTGCCCTCAGGAAAGGTGCCGACGCCGCTAGTATCTGGGCCTCCTGGGGCGCGTCTCGAACCAGATCCCGAGGCGAATCCAGCCGTGGCGACGAGGGCGTCCCAGGAAGGCCACTGAAGACCAGACGAGATAAGCTTAGGGCCGCGGTATCGGTACATTTTCCTCTTGTGATCGGGGGTCCCCAAATCGTGTGGTGACAGAACGCTCGGTGAGCTTTGGCGGCGCGCAGAAGGGAGCGGAGGAAGAGGAAGCTTCTTAGAAAGAAGCTGCTTCTTGGAGGGCGCCGGCCCTACATCTGTAGATAAGGACCGCGCCTTCTACGAAGCAGGGGTGCTTCTAAGAAGGCCTCCACCCTCCCCCCATCCCCCTCTGCGCGTGGCTGAGAGCTCGCAATCCCGAGCGACCTCACCGCGCGGTCCGTCACCGCACGGCCTTGGAACCTTGGAAGCAATGGGCGCCCGGGAGTCCCAAAACTTCGCGGTGACCCCAAATCCCCACTGACTCACCACACGGTGTGGTCACAACACTGCCTGGGGGCCCCTCAGGTGGCAACTCGTGGGAGCCTCCCATGCTATCTTGCTGGCTCTTGCGAGTCGACGTTGACCGACGCTAATCGACGCTCGTCGACTCCAATCCACGCTAAATCGACGCGGAATCGGCGCTCGCGCATCGATTACTAAGCACTAGCGCACGCTAACGCATTCTGAAAATTGAATTGCGAGGCCATAAAAAAGGCTCCCACGACTTGCTACCGAAAATCTCCGAATGGTGGAACCAACAGGTGCTGATACTGTTACTCCCTGGACCTCTCTTGGGGTGCGTTCTGACCAGAATTTCGAGGCGAATCCAACGGTGGCGACGAGGGCCTCCAAGGAGGCCGAATACGGCGAACACGAGGCGAGGGTAGCGGTGGCTGTACCTTGTCTTCCTCTGAAGCAGACCCTGAAGTACTCCCAGAGGCCGTGGATCACGCTGTACATCCTGAGCACCGTTGAACCGATCCACATCCCCATCGGCGCGGCCTGTGCCCCACTGGCCGATTTACCCCCCCCCAAGAAGGGGATATAAGCTGTGTCCTTTGGGTTCCAAGGGGCATCTCCCCAACTGGGGTGTTGGGACGATGGGGATCGGGATGGAGATGGGGATCGCTTAAAGGATGCTGACATCCACATCGTGAGCAGGGCCTCGACGGCCACCAGCGCGAGCGCCACCTCGCAGTGAGCCAGCGCGCAAGCGCGGCTGCCGCCGCGACGGAGCCGCCGCCATCGTCATCGTCGTATGGCGCCGTTATCGTCGCCAGCCTGGCAATCCACTGGCCATGCCGCCCAAACTGCCTCGCGGCGCGAAACACCACGGCGGAATGTATGTTTCCATACTCGGGCTCTGGTGTCCCTCGCCAAGCCGCAAGACCGTAACAAAAAAACACCTCGAGGTGAGAAGCCTGTCCCGGGAAAGAGGTCGGGACACTTACGCGCTTCCTGCTACGTGCTTCATGGTTGTTCAGTGTCTAAGCTTCGTTGCAACGTCTGTCAAGGCAATGACCTGATCGTACCTGCTCTTGCCCTTTCATCCCCATCACGCGTGATGCTGAATATTACCAAGCTTGCTCATTACTTTCCAACGCGCCGCGCGCTCCTACCTCCACTTGCAGACCGACTACGCTACCGAATGATTTGGACGAGAATTGCACGTGCCAATGGAGTGTGTACACCGACGCTTCGACCTCTGAGTTTTCACCAACGGCTGTTCCGACGTCAACTACCATGCTTGTGTTGTTTGTATTCCACGCCCTCGTCATACTTTCTGTCTGCGCTCCTACTCTCTGACGCCTGCTCCGACCCCCGATCCGACGCCCGGTCCGTCCGGCACAGTATCGATCAACCTGGTGTCTGGCACCACGTCGGCGCACCCAAAGTCTGAGTTGGCCACAGACTTGCCGAAACGTGGAGGCGGCACGGCGGTGTCCTGATAAGGGCAATGCCTGTATTTAAGTTCCAACCCACTTGCGCCCTTCGTGTTTCGATTCATGGCCGTTCAAACTTTATGCACCGTTGCAAGGTTGTGAGGTTGTGAAACAATCATGACGGCGGTGACTGCCTGGGATAGGGGGGACTTGCTCGGAGGAGAACATCAAAGTGGAATTGGCAATACATTGACGACAGATCGGCCATATGCCCCCGACAGCGAAACCGATTGGTTCTGGGGAGGCAGAGGTCATCGGACCTACTATCGGCGCTGAATGAGCGATTGGGGGTCGATGCATCCCCCCCCCAAGCCTATCCCCCCCTAACGTTGCCCCTGAACGTCGTCGTTGTCCTGGTTCTCCTCCTCCTCCTCCTTTTCAATATCATCACCCTTACACGTGCCCGCGCTCTGTGGCCCTACAATTGTCGGCACGCCTGCGGTCAACAACGGCCTGCAGCACCTTCCAGGAAACGGCAGCCACACACCACCGTCCATAGCCAGGGCCATGGGACGGCGTATGCCACCGGCTGGCCTCGACCTATGCCACCTGCTGGCCTCGACCGGGAGGATATCAGGCCAAAATTGGTGGTGGTGGTGCATAGTGGCACATCTGCCTGTCGTGGACGCATGTTGCGCCAGCGCAACAACGGAACACGCCTGTCCTCCTCGGGACCCAGGGAAACTTGGCTGACCCGCCACCCGCCCAACCCCTCGCCAGAATCACCTCCCGCAAAGAAGCAACTGTGATCTTCATGTGGTACCCCCCTTTTGTGAATCCGTGGGATATGATACTTTGTTGCAGGCCCCGCTGAGCACGCCATGTGTAGGTACGTTGCGACGGCTTGATTAGTAATGCTCTTACTAGTGAGACGGCATTCACCATGATCTGGAGTTCCAGACTTTGATTCTCATGCGTCCGATAACTGCCCAAATCGTCATTCTGGTATGTACCGGCTCTTGAGCGTTCCAAGACCTATTCAAGCCTTTACCCAGTCCAAAGTTCACTGCACCGACCTTGCAGACGTGCTGCAGCGGATTTGTGCGTGGATTTCTGCCAAGGCCAAACCCCGAAACGGCGAGTGAAAAACGAAGTGAATTTCGCGTGGATTTTTGTTTAGTCTTCATTCCTGGCCAAAGCAAGTCAGCACGGAATTCATCTCGCAAATTTGGAACGAAATCCTCCAGGACGCTCCAGGCCCATCCTATTTTCCGAACGATATCCGCTCTGCGATGTTGACGCCATGAACTCTGAGATGTGCCGGTTCTTGAGCCTTCTCAGACCTCTTCAAGCCTTTTCTCGGTCCAAGGCCAGCCCGAAAAACGACAGGCCCAGAAATAGGTCGGGCCTGTCCCCCTACAGGGGGATTTTGGACGAAAAATGAAAAATGTTACAAAAGAGTCCAAAATTATATATATATATATATATAAACAAAAAATGCTCAGAACATCGTCCCCAGACTCATTCTTTTGACTATTTTTGAATATTCCCCCTGTGGAGGGACAGGCCCGACGTAAGCCCGGTGCGGAGACTGGACCGCCCGGCCCCGTGCCGCCGCACGACCCAACGGCCCGGCCCGACAGGCCCGGCACTGCCGCAGCCCCGCTCCGCGAGCGCTCTTCGCTGAGCAGGGACCGACCGTCCCGGCATTACTCTACTCTCGGGGATGGACAGACCTCCCTTTAGTAAAACGTGGTTTAGTGCGAACGACCTCGGGCCCAAACCTGGCGGGCGCAGACCTGGAAAATAACGGCCACGGCGCCCTCTCGAGAACCGAAAGCGGACAATTCACTAATCGACGTGTCACTGTTGGGGGTTCTGTCCACCCCCGATACTCCAAACCCCTCATCAATCCTCCCCCGGGTTCGGTTTTTTGAGGCGCCTTTTTTTGGAGCTGGGGGGGTAGGGTCTATAAGGGCGCTTTTTGGGGATTGGAGCTCAGGGGGTCCGGTGTATTTCCGATTCATTCAGGCGCCCCGTCGAAGAGGGTGTCCGGAATATTAGGTCGCATTTGGAGGGGGGTCCCGTTTAGGGGGGGGGGGTCGATTAATAAGGGATTTCCAGTAGGCCTACCACGACATGCTCTTAGAACCCAAAATGTTCTAAGAGCAAAGGCAATGCTCTTTCTTAGAACATCAGCCCGATGTGTCAAAACAAGACAGACCCAGCCAGAAATGTTCGAAAAACACCTCGTGCAAACCACAACATGTGTTTCGAACATTCTTTGGTGGGCCTATAGGCGACCCAGGACGCTTCGCCACTGCTTGACTTCGAGGATCGAGAACGGCGAAAAGGTCTGGTTCCAGAAGGGCGCTCTCGACGGCTGCTGGGGCGCCGCGCGTCGAGCGAAGGGGAATCAGGTTGGGCCGGGGGGGCCTCGGGTCTGGTCTTAGGTCGGGCTTGTCCCCCTGCAGGCGGATGTTGAAAGAAAACCATAGAACAGAAACAAAACAATACCGAATGGTCGAAACATGGTCCCCAGCCTTCTTTTTGTTGTTGTTGTTGATGATATTTTTGGATTTTTCTCATGTAGATCGGGAGCGGCCAAGATGGGGGTGTCCAAGAGGGGGGGGTGCAAATCATGACCGGCGGCATGTGCGCGGCCCAGCGGGGGGGCCAGGGACGCAATGAAACAAGAAGAGGCGCCATGAAATCTAAGGAAATATCATGGCCCCCGCCATGATATCCCCCCCCCTAGTCATCACCCCCCTCTTTTCCGCCCCCGAGATAGAATATAATAACAAAATACCGAATGATCGAAACATGGTCCCCAGACTTCTTTTGGTTGTTGCTGTTGATATGTTTGAATTCTCCTCCTGCAGAGGGACGTGCCAGACTGGAAGTCGAGTTGAGCTTGTCCTACGATCCCATCTGGCGGGCTCCGAGAAGAGCGCCCCTCGGGGCTCACCACGCACGGGGCCCGGCCGGCCTGGAGCGACGCTGCCGACCACTCGCGGCCCGTCTTGCCCGGACCGGCCTGGCCAAACCGCAACGCGAGAGGCTTGCTCCTGCAGCCTCGAGGAGCAGCATCGGGAGGAAACCAATGGGGCCCAGGGACACGCAAATACATGGACACGCATCCCAGGATTCCCCATATCTTGCTCCTGTAGCTTCGAGGAGCAGCATCGGGAGGACCCCAAAGGGGCCCAGGGACACGCAAAGGAAGAGGCACAAGTTCCAGGATTCCCCATCATGTTATCTATATTTTCTGGGGTGTCGTCCCCTCCCCCGCCCTTCCATTTTTCTACCAGATTGTCCTGGGGATCGACGCTCCGTTGTGTCTGTGTGTGTGTGTGTGTGTGTGTTCTATTCCCCCTCCCGCGGCGCGCAGGAGTGCGGCACGCGAGCGTCCAGGTAGGCAGGGGCACGAGCGCCACTGCGCCCGAGGGAGGCGCGAGCACACGAGGGTGCCGCCGTGCGCGAGGAGCACGGGAAGCGGCGCGCGAGCACGGGAGGCACGAGAAGCACGAGTTCGAGGGGCCCAGGGGACACACACACACACAAGTAGATCCGCACAAATCCCAGGATGTCCCACCTATGTTCCCATGCGATCAGGGTGTTCGTCCCCCCCCCCCACCCACCGTACTGTCCCATACTTGCCTGGGGATGGGCGATTCGTTGTGTCTGTGTGTCTGTCCCCCTCCGGAACGAGCGTCAACCAGCATGCAACAAACGGGACCGTCGAGACTGACCGCGCTCGATCGCAGGAGAAGATCTGCGACAATAGCTGGAGCACCACCTCAGACGCCCCAGGCCAAAGTCTCCGGACCGTGGCTCCCTCAAGGTCGTGATCCCTTCCTGGGCGCCCGCTCTGCATCCTGAAACGCTGCTGGACAACCTGGGATTCGGCAACAGCCCCTGGAAGCCGACACCTGACAAACACATCGTAGGGGTCCGCCCCAAGGCGAGGGGCAATTCTTAGGTCGGGCATGTCCTCCTACCTACTACAGGCAGATTTTGGACGCAAAAGGAAACATACCCCCAAAGTGCTCAAACATAGCCAAACAAGTAAAACAACATCCCCGTACTATGTTTAGTCTATTTTCGCATATTCCTCCTGTGGATCGACATGCCCGACTTAGGCCATTTCCATGCCGGCCACCTCCATGGCCTCCTCCCACGGGTGGTGCTTCCAGCCTGGCAGCCTCCAGTCGTCCCGGAAGCCCTTGTAGAGGTTCCACAGGAGCAGGCACAGCGTGGCGCCGAAGCATGCCAGGCAATAGAAGAAATAGGCCCGCGACAACCGCCACGTGAGGATCACGTGCTTGGCCCGGGAGTTCAGGGACACCCGCCTTCCAGCTCGCACTAACGGCAATCGAAATCCGTGGTAGGGAGGCAGGGTGTGGGTGCCAGACGCTTTCGGCGACCACGTGGGAACAATCGCGGCGACATCGGTCCAACAGGTCTAGGACCTACGGTGGGGGCATTGGATATGGAACCATTCAATAAGGAATCCAGGGTCTGGAAGAAGGTGGAACTCCAATCGTGGATTGGCCATGGATATCACTGCCGACCTCATCAGATAAGGAATCCTCCAGGGTCTGAAGCCTCCTGGGCGCATTCCTTAACCAACGCCCCCGCCGTATGGCTCAGTACGCGCCGACCAGGCAAGGCTGCAAAAGTGGCCTTGGTGCAACATCGCGTCCGGGCCGTGGGGCCTGACTGCAGCGCAGCCGCTGCCTCCAAACATATGTTCCAGAGGCGGTCCGTGGACCTTCCACGAGGTGCATCCCGGTCCGTTGTCGAATCGCGTCCAGCAGGGGTGACGAGGACCCCCGAAAGCCCTCAGACACAAAAAATACATGAGAAGGAAGAGAACAACAAGAAGTCGCCCTCCTGCCCAGGCTCCAGCGACGACCCTGGCGACTCTGGAGCCTCGCCCGAGCCCCCGAATCGCCAGAGCCTCAAACGGAGACGGGCAGGGTAGAAGGGATGGATGGTGGGAGAAGGATGGAGGAGGAGAAACAAGAGGAGAAGCAGGATCAGGGGGTGACGATGATGATGATGATGCTGCTGCTGCTGCGTCTGCTGCTGCTGCTGCTGCTGCTGCTGATGATGATGATGATGATGATGATGATGATGATGATGATGATGATGATGATGATGATGCTGATGATGATGATGATGATGAGAGGAGGAGGAGGAAGACGACAATGCAGGCGTGCTTACGTTATCGGTAGTGTGTTTGTTTGCAGAGACCTCAGGGGGGCCGCCGCAGATCCTTGGATGGCCTCCCTGAGGAGGCTGATGATGCGAAGGCCAGCTTGTCCTACCATAAGCACGAGTGCTGGCAACATCTCACCACAAAGAACCCTGGGCACGGAACGAGAACCCACTGGGGCCTCGGCCAAGCCCGCACTCCCGAGAGGCGCCCGAAGAAGACCCACAGAGAGGCCTAAAGAACCCGAGCCCCAACCAGAACCCGACACAATCCACAGAAAAGAAACAACTGCATACACACAAACTTTCGACGGTCCGCGCAGAGTTCTCGTAGGACCCACTCCTGGACGCGCAGATCCAGGCAGGGGCGGCGCCCGAGGCGCCGCCAAGGGGCTCCAGCGCGGATCCAAGAAATCCGAGTGTACAGTCAACAATATATGTTTAGGCAATTCTTTGTTCTTCGAATTCCAGAATCTTCGCCGCACCCCGAATGGCACGCAAGAGCACTCTGGCAGGAGGTTCCAGGTCCTCGAGCGCGCCAGGGCATGCAGGCGCTGCTCTCTTGTCGCGTGCGTCGGCGGGGGGTCTCGCCAACCCCTTCTCTACGCCCTGCTCGCGCTGGGACGAAGGACGAGGGCGAGAAGGGAGAAGGAAGGAGGAGGAGGAAGATGAGCAGGAGGAGGAGGAGGAGGAAGGAGGAAGGGAGGAGGAGGAGGAGGAGGAGGAGGAGGAGGATGGGGGAGGAGAGGAGGGAGGAGGAGGAGAAATGAGCAGGAGGAGGAGGAAGGGAAGGAGGGAGGGAGGAAGGAGGAAAGGAGGAAGGAGGAGGAAGGAAGGAGGAAGGAGAAGGAGAAGGAAGGAGGGGGAGGAAGGAGGAAGAGAAGGAAGGAGGAAGAGAAGGAAGGACGAGGAGGAAAGGAGGAGGAGGCGGGCGGACGGAAGAACCCGTGGGCTCCCTCCAGGGTGCACCCTTCCTGCCCCCCTGCTCGCGGCAGCGCGGCGAGGCGCCGGGTAGGGAGCGCGTGGGTGGGACGCGCGAAACTGGGAGGAGGAGGAGGAGGAGGAGGAGGAGGAGGAGCAGGAGGAATAATAATACACATAATACGCTTGGAAATATCAGCGACACTCATAGGAATACAATTGATATCTAAATACTAATCATAATACGTATAATAATAGTTATATGAATACTAGCAGTCATGCTACTATCAGTTATCATACTACTAATAAAAAAAACAGAATAATAAAATATAGGTTGATACGAATGCTGAATACACAGAGGGAGGGACACAGGACAAGAAGCAAGAGGAGGAATGCGGATAACGGAGGAGTAAGAGGAGGAGGATGACGATGAGGAGGATGATCGAGGAGGAGAAGGCCGAAAGGTGGATGATCAAGGAAGAGGAGGAGGAGGCCGTATGGGGGGAAGGGCGGGAGATTCGCGACACCCCCCACGCCTGGCGGTCCACGGCCCCACCAGCCCCGCGGCGCCCTCGAGCGAGTCGCCCCTGCTGCCAAAGGAGGCCAGACCGCCGCAGCCGATGTCGTCCTCCTCCTGCCATCCTGCCCCTCCTCCCCCATCACTTGCCCTTCTTCCTCCTTCCCC